AGGGGTATTTGGATCTTAGATTATCAGTAAGGTGGGGTGGGTTAGTTATAGCCTTATATATATTTTTACACTTATGCAATATTTTTAGATCTAGATTTTTATATATGTAATATTAAAATTTTAATGTAGCACGCGCGCGTTCTAACGAGTTCTTATTGTGAGCTTTTTATGACTACGTGAATAAATAAATTTCTTACTTGCTAAATTACTTACATGACGAATAATGCATTGTGCAAATCGTATTATCTTTAAGGCTTACTGGTCACCAACTGAGGAAGAAATCATAAATGCGAAGGAAGGTCTAAGAAAACTCATATTCAAGGAAGGGATTCAGGTTCAAGCAATGGAGAAGGAGGACTGGACTTTTCTAAAGAATCACTTGTGTCCTTCAATCGAGCTGTTTCCTGATTCAACTTACGAAGAAAGTGAGAGGAAGAAGTTGGATAAATTCATTGATGGATTTTTAAAGGTAAGTACATTACCATCAAGCAATAATTTATACACTAGTTTTATTTAGCATGATAATGGAAACCCATTAATATATGGACATGAGGAGGTAGGAAATTTTTGTATCTTCGAAATTATGTTGTATTTTTTAACCTCGATATCTCATTGAAAAGCATTAAAAGTGAAAGATATTTGAGCACAAGGAGTAAATCTATTATACGAAGAGCGCTTTTTGAAAAAGAATACATATAACGGCTTTTTGCAGAACGAAGTATCGTACCCAGACCCTACTTATTAGTCAAATAGTTGCAGTGGAAATAGAGTGCTTTTAGTCTCACTGTTGAATTGGTTACGTCAACTAAATTAGATAAGTTATTTACTATATTAGGTGACGTCACCTAAATTTGAAACTACGAGTAAACAGCTACTGAGATCAGGGGGAGAAACGATGATACAAATGAATGTCTATTCACTCATTCTCTGGTAAAACAACCCCCCGGATTAGCATGACCGTTATTTGGCACGCTTTTACCATTTTAGGTGACGTCAACTAAATAGTTATCTAAGTTAGATAAATTTATCGAACTATTCAACAGTGAGACTAAAAGCACTCTATACGTCAAAAATGTGTGGCGAAATTTTCAAATAAAATTCTACATTTTTTATTCTTTTTTTTTGACTGTGAAAAACTCACGAATAAGCCCGAAGCGAGATGACGTTTTACCCCCGTCTCTAGACCATAATAGTTTTTTAAATTCTTTCATATTAAAATTTTAGAGGATACAAGAACAATAGTCATAATTAAAGAACAAAAGCAGTGTGAAAAGGATTATGATCTAGAGAAGGCGTAAAACGTCATCTCGTTTCAGCCTTATTAGTTCATTGGTTCTCAAAACGTTATGCATGGTACAAATTACGTCATTGGAACCCGGTATAACGAACAGGCAAACAAACAAACAAACTCTAAGCCCTGAGCACATACAATTAAAGTGTATATAGATTGATTTAGTTTAATCCCACATGATAACCAGCAGTTGCAAGAACAAGTGTTTCTGAAAAGATGGCAAAAAAAGAAAGTGTTGTCCTTATAAAACTGCAGAAAAAAACCCTGCCATCAAGCCTGCAAATGTGGAGCACCATGTACAAACAAGGGCTAACATAATAATGTAATAGAGACAGTATGTCGCTGCTTTTAGATATCAAGATTAATGTTAGGACAATCTTGTATCCAGAGTCGCCAATTACTTTTCTTGAATTGCGTTCGGATACCATTCAAATGCAATGGAAGACTTCGATTAATCGAATTTCGACTCCTGGATACGTCATTTAGTTAGCTAATTGCTGATTACATGCTGATAAAGTCAACTGACTTCACCTTTATTAGAAATCTACATACTGCATACCACTAAGAATCAGTAGCTCACTATGTTACCCTGGACACATACCACTAAGAGTCAATATCTCACTATGTTACCCTGGACACATATCACTAAGAGTCACTAGCTCACTATGTTACCCTGGACACATACCACTAAGAGCAAGAGAATATGAACTAAGAGAATGAATCCCCGTGCCCCATCATGTGCACACTTTGATGCTATTTTTAGAATCTATTCTAAAAATATCATCCAATGATATCATTCATTTAATCGTTTGACTTTCTGCACGCGCATAGTGCGCGCGCGCTCTACGCTCTTTGCTAACGTTTTTTGTGCTTTTCTTATGTTCAAATATTCAAATCTGCCCTCAAGATGACGATGTAGGTCGAAAGCTTTGGAAAATGAATGTAAAAATACTCCAGAACGTTGAAAAAATTACTACTTCAATTTCGTGTCGTATTTGCCAATCTTTCGGCATGCACAGAATTAATGGGCAGAATCGAAATAACGGAAAAACCCCAAAAACTTAAGCAAATAGCGGAGAGCACGCGCAGTAAATGCGCGTGCAGAAAAACAAATGGTTTAAAAATAGCATCAAACTGTGCACATGATGGTTACAAGGCTATATACGGGGGATTCCTTCTCTTAGTTCATTTTCTCTTGACTAAGAGTCAATATCTCACTATGTTACCCTGGACACATACCACTAAGAGTCAATATATCACTATGTTACCCTGGACACATACAACTAAGAGTCAATATCTCACTATGTTACCCTGGACACATACCACTAAGAGTCAATATCTCACTATGTTACCCTGGACACATACAACTAAGAGTCAATATCTCACTATGTTACCCTGGACACATACAACTAAGAGTCAATATCTCACTAGTTTTATTCTTCGAATGCACATTACGTCATCGCTGCCATGTTGGTGCCATTTAACAAAAGATTTCTCATTAGCATCCATTGTTAATAGCACCAAGATGGCCGCCATGCTTTTGTCTTTTGACTGTCTTGGAAATGCTTGCAACCCATCAATTTAGCGTGAAAATGGAGAATATGGACTCGCGGATACACTTAATTGAAGAATCGTTGTCGGGTTCAGAAACATAGAACATAGAAGCTGAGACCGAAATGGCACATGGGAA